AGAAATGGTTCGGCCACAAAATAAGAATGAACCAAAAGTTTCTAGAATAAGGAATATACAATATGAAAAGGAAACACAAAGATGTAGAGAGAGACCTACAAGAAGATGGACCAAGAGGGTTACTTCTTTTTCTGTGTCTACCTGTAAACTGATGGTCAGTTCATAGTTGTGGTTTACAGCTAGGCTGCCATAACTGCACCACTCAGCTTAATACACCCAATTACATAGTCAACTTTTATGACATACTTGCAATGGGGAGGCAGTGGATCATTTGTTTTCCCCTCAAAGTGGGACCCACACAGGAAAGAGACACATCATCATAGCATATCAGACAAATAAGACTGCCCTAGCTCAGCTAACAGTTATCTGTTGAACTGTGACGCCAGTGGCTCAAAGCTGATACTAAAAAAAAAAAGGAAAATAGTTTCAGCTGCCATATCAGAAGATGAAAAAATTCCTACCTGCTCTAATGGACAGCATCCATACAGGCCAGATGCTAATTCACAACAGGTATTGCCATTTGGGCATTGGGAGCCATCTGGGCATGTAACTGTTGCTTTCACAGGTTTTGCTGCTACTTTAGTCAACCAGCTGACTACATCATCACCCTTTGTGCAGGTGCCAGCAGAAACATCACATGTGTAGCCTTGTGGACAGCAGTGGGTATGGTCTGGGCAACAAGTAGCCTGTTCAAAGAATAGCAAAATATTTCATCGCTTCAGTTTCAAGAAACTCACTATATTTCTCCTTCTTTTAATCCATGCCATGTGGCTTTGGTAGCCATGTCTATCCACAACCTTCTCTGTCTTGTGTACTTTAAATCAGTTCTGACACAGAGGATTTTCCGTGCCACAATGTCAAAGTGTTCAGCATCTTCTCTATTTGTCTCCCTCTGTGTCTTTTTTCCTCCAACTTTCTCAATGTCATAATGTAGTCCAGTTTTATCATTCTCATGACATTGCCAAAAAATGTAGATTGTGTCTCCTTCTGATATTTGCAATCAGTTCTCTTCATACAATTATTAGAAATCCCATACAAGATATACTTTTCCAAACTCTTGATATCCCTCCCAGTTTTTACATTAACCCACCATAACCTAGTGTTATTTTGACTTTTTATCTGGTCAGCTAATAATTACTTCAACTAATTTAGATCAAATGTTTATCACTTTTAAGTAAAAGCTATTTTAGATAGAAGAGCTGAGGTAGCATAGCAGCTAGACACTCACCTACTGACCTTAATAACTTGGGTTCAAATCGACACCACGGTGGATTTTAAAAAACATACTGACCTTTGCTTCCAGGTCAACCCAGCCTAAAATAGGTATTAGGCAATGTTCTTAGAGGTAAAGCAAGCTGGTATGATGTTTGTCGCATCAAGCGCAAGACTGCAGATTTATTAATAAAATCAATAGCATCATATATGCTTGCCTGCCAAGTCCGTGGTCCAGATTCTCTCCTTAAAAGTGGTAGGGTTTTATCCAACCAGTACAATTCCAGAGTTGGTTTAACCTAATAAAAATGGGTACCAGACAATTTCTGGAATTTTCTGGCAACTGTCTGGAAGGGAACAGTAGACCCCTGTTTATGTCAGTGGCACACTGGGCACATGATGCTGGACCCATAATTGTATAGACCAAATGACACTTGGTAGCAGATGTCGTTAATACTTTGCTGGCCACCTTTACTTCTTCCTAGGATCCCTGTGTGGGTTCTGGGGTCTTATTGTGAAGAAAACAAAAACAGACCCAATGCTAAAACAAAAGCATGATGTAAGAGTCGATAACAGTCTGCATATAAATGAGTCATTCTGTAAAATGGATGTGCAAGCAAAACTCAGGTTGTGGAACCAGACTAGAGCCCACAAGTGAACAAACACCTGAATTAACAGCTGGTGAACATGAAAAGAAGATGAACTTTCCAGGACATTACCAGAATTAAACCAAAAGGCTCTTTCTGAAAGCCACAGTGACATCATATTTCCCCATAGCCTCAGTGGTAGAGGTCATGGCATGAGTCACTCGATGTATTTCATTTAATACTTCATTCTGATCATGTTTGCTGATTACTCTTCACATATCTTTACATATTTCAACAACAACAATGTATTTAAATACATATTTTTTAAATGTATTAGGAACCTGTATAAAATGGTTGTTTCATTTTCATTGTTTATTTTTAAATGGATTTTTTTTTTCTGGAATTCACACAGGTTCATGACCCATCTATTTTGTGTTCTTCAGGTGACAGGGTTAACATTTATATCTCGCTGCAATTGACATCAACCACAGAATACAAAAACAGACATTGATTACCTAATTCATTTCAACTATTATATTCATGAGAAATATGAAAAAAATTATTTATATTGTTGGGAGTGGACAGCAGCCATATAGGCCTAATGCCAGCAAGTACTGTCATTTGGACATTCAGTTCTATCTCCATATTTCACTGTACCAACTCCTTTAGCTGCTACGTTGGTCACCCAGCTTCCCCACATCATCACGTTTTCGGCAGGTGACATATACAATTGTTTCCTTCCAAAGTGGGACCTACACAGGAAAGAGACACAACATCATAGCATATCAGGAAAATAAGAGTGCCCTAGCTCAGCTACCAGTTAACTGTGATGCCTAGTGACCCAAAGCCGATACTGAAAAAACAAAACAAAAAAAAAGAAAATCATTTCAGCTGATATATCAGAAGATGAAAAAATTCCTACCTGCTCTAATGGACAGCATCCATACAGGCCAGATGCTAATTCACAACAGGTATTGCCGTCTGGGCACGTTGATTGATCTGGGCATGTAACTGTTGCTTTCACAGGTTTTGCTGCTACTTTAGTCAACCAGCTGACTACATCATCACCCTTTGTGCAGGTGCCAGCAGAAACATCACATGTGTAGCCTTGTGGACAGCAGTGGGTATGGTCTGGGCAACAAGTAGCCTGTTCAAAGAATAGCAAAAATATTTCATTGCTTCAGTTTCAAGAAACTCACTATACTTCTTCTTTTTTTAATCCATGCCGTGTGGCTTTGGTAGCCGTGTCTATCCACAAATTTCTCTGTCTTGTGTACTTTAAATCAGTTCTGACACAGAGGATTTTCCGTGCCACAATGTCAAAGTGTTCAGCATCTTCTCTATTTGTCTCCCTCTGTGTCTTTTTTCCTCCAACTTTCCCAATGTCACAATGTACTCCAGTTTTATCATTCTCATGACATGGCCAAAGAATGTAGATTGTGTCTCCTTCTGATGTTTGCAATCAGTTCTCTTCATAATATTATCAGAAATCCCATACAAAATATACTTTTCCAAACTCCTTTTATCCCTTCTAGTTTTTACATTAACCCACCATAACCTAGTGTTATTTTGGCTTTTTTCCTGGTCAACTAATAATTACTTCAACTTATTTAGATCAAATGTTTATCACTTTGAAGTAAAAGCTATTTTGGATAGATGAGATGAGGCAGCATAGCAGCTAGACACTCACCTACTGACCTTGAGAACTTGGGTTCAAATTGACACCGCCGCAAATTTTTAAAAACAAACTGACCTTCGCTTCCAGGTCAACCCAGCCTAAAATGCGTATTAAGGCAATGGTTTGTAGGTAAGGCCAGCTGGTATGATGTTTGCCGCATCACGTGCAGAGTGTGGATTTATTTATAAAATCAATAGCATCATATATGGTTGCCTGCCAAGTCTGTGGTCCTGATTCCCTCCCTAAAAGTGGTAGGGTTTTATCCAACCAGTATAATTCCAGAGTCGGTTCAACCTAATAAATATGGGTACCAGACAATTTCCTCAGTTTTCTGGCAACTGTATGGAAGGGAACAGTAGACCCGTGTTTATGTCAGTGGCACACTGGGCACATGATGCTGGACCCATAATTGTATAGACCAAATGACACTTGGTAGCAGATGTCGTTAATACTTTGCTGGCCACCTTTACTTCCTAGGATCCCTGTGTGGGTTCTGGGGTCTTATTGTGAAGAAAACAAAAACAGACCCAATGCTAAAACAAAAGCATGACGTAAGAGTCGATAACAGTCTGCACATAAATGAGTCATTCTGTAAAATGGATGTGCATGCAAATATCAGGTTGTGGAACCAGACTAGAGTCCACAAGTGGATGAACACTTTCCGCCTGAATTTACAGCCAGTGAACATGAAGAAGAAGATAAACTTCCCAGGACATTACCAGAATTAAACAAAAAAAAAGCTTTTTCTGAAAGTCACAGTGACATCAAATTTCCCCATAGTCTCAGTGGTAGAGGTCACGGCATGAGTCACTCAATGTTTTCCATTCAATGCTTCACTCTGTTCATGTTTACTTATTACTCTTAACATATCTTCACATATTTCAACAACAACAATGTATTTAAATACATATTTTTAGAATGTATTAGGAACCTGTGTAAAATGGTTGTTTTCATTAAAATTTTTAATTTTTATATGGATTTATTTTTCAGGAATTGACACAGGTTCATGACCCATCTATTTTGTGTTCTTCAGGTGACAGGGTTAACATTCTTTATTTCACTGCAATTGACATCAACCACAGAATACACAAACAGACATTTATTACCTAATTCATTTTAACTATTATATTTATGAGAAATATAAAAAATTATTTATACTGTTGGGAGTGGACAGCAGCCATATAGGCCTGAGGCCAACAAGTATTCTCATTTGGAAATTTATTTGCATCTCCATATTTCACATGTACCAATTCGTTTAGCTGCTACTTTACTCACCCAGCTTCCCCACATCATCATGTTTTGCGCAGGTGAAATTTACAATTGTTTCCTCCCAAAGTGGGACCCACACAGGAAAGACACACAACATCATAGCATATCAGACAAATAAGAGTGCCCTAGCTTAGCTACCAGTTATCTGTTGAACTGTGATGCCTAGTGACCCAAAGCTGATACTGAAAAAACAAAACCAAAAAAAAAAGGAAAATAGTCTCAGCTGATATATCAGAAGATGACAAAATTCCTACCTGCTTTAATGGACAGCATCCATACCGGCCAGATGCTAATTTACAACAGGTATTGCCATCTGGGCACTCAGATTTATCTGGGCATGTAACTGTTGCTTTCACAGGTTTTGCTGCTACTTTGGTCAACCAGCTGACTACATCATCACCCTTTTTGCAGGTGCCAGCAGAAACATCACATGTGTAGCCTTGTGGACAGCAGTGGGTATGGTCTGCGCAACAAGTAGCCTGTTCAAAGAATAGCAAAAATTTTTCATTGCTTCAGTTTCAAGAAACTCACTATACTACTTCTTATAATCAATGCCGTGTGGCTTTGGTAGCCATGTCTATCCACAACCTTATCCTGTGTACTTTAAATCAGTTCTGACACAGACGAATTTCTGTGCCAGATTCCAAACTCCTGATTTCCCTCCCAGTTTTCAAATTAACTTCTCATAACCTAGTGTTATTTTGGCTTTTTTGATTAACTAATAACTACCTCAACTTATTTAGATCAATTGTTCAGCACTTTGAAGTGAAAGCTATTCTGAATAGAAAAGCTGAGGTAGCATTGCAGCTAGACACTTACCTACTGACCATAAGAACCTGGTTGCAGATGATTTAAAAAAAACAAAATGACCTTCTCTTCTAAGTCAACACAGCCTAAAATAGGTATTAGACAATTTTCTTGGAGTTAAAGACAGCTGGTATGATGTTGGCAGCATAACATGCAAAGTGTCGATTTATTAATTTAAAAAAAGAAAATATCATCATTTTGGCTTGCCTGCCAAGCCCGTGGTCCAGATTCCCATGGTGGTTATATTATGAACAAGTAGAACAGGTAGCCGGTTAGCTCTCTGCCTAGGTTCACGGACCTCTGAACCATGTTTTATAGCCCCAGGACTACCACAGAGTTCTGCAATTTTGCCTGCACTGTTTAATGTTTTTATGAGCAAGATTGCATACATGGAAACACCTGGAGTTGGCAGAACATTGACATTTGCAGATGATGTTCTCGTATATAGGAAGGGGAGGGATCGGAATCAAATATCTCAAGAGTTACAGGCGACAGTAGATAAGGGGATAGACCGGTCTTTGTTTTTCTAAAAACTAATGATACCAGCTGCTGTCCTGATATTTTTTGGTTCTTTCGTAATATCCTACCCCAGATGACGTCCCAGGACAGTCCAACATTTTAGAGGGTGGTAAGACTGGGTTTACCGGCTTTCTGATGCTTTTAACAACCCCAAAACATACAGAACTGGCCCTAACCCCAACCCACCTATGTCCCACAAGAGAGTGCAGCCTAGGTCCCACGACTGCATGCAGCCTAGGTCCCAGGACTGCATGCAGTTTATCTACCACCCCCTGAAATATTAGACTGTCCCGTGACCTATGGATTTCCACTGTTTGGGGTAGGATATTAAGAAAGCACCCATTTTTTTGTCTCCATCATAAATGGGATAATCCAAATTTGTTTGCGAATGTCAAGAGATGATTGCAAGAATTGTTGAAACAGCACCCATCGTCAAATATAATGAGAAACAAAGAATGAAATGGTTTGGCCATCTAATGAATGATATTTCTCCAAGTGACTGTCTTCTCTATATTTCCCCAGATCTACTGGTTGGCCTCTTACACTGCTGCTCCTTGCTATCATCTCAATGGCCTTCATTGAACCTTCGTTCATCACATTAAAAAAAAAGAACAAGTTCACTCTTCAGTCTTTTCAGACGATAATGTTATACTACCAGGATGGGCTGTCCTGGGAAAGTAAAGACAGCCGGCGTAATGCTGACCACATTACCCACCGAGTGATGATGGTATGTAAAAATATGGGACGCTCTGCCCATATGCCCGATGAGCCGAAAGGCGTGAAAAGGGATCTTTTAATGTTATACTGTGCTTTAGAGACACATGGAAGCCACAGACTATGGTGATGGCAAGTGTAATTAGAAGAGCCGGTGCATTAAGAAAAGTCTTCCACAGATAGATCATGAGATTTCAGGACTTTGTTGTGTTTAACAAAATTCTTCTTTGATGCTCAGCTCATAATCTATATGCAATCATGTTCTCCTTTATCCCTAGTTAGTTAGTTAATCGACAGATTATCTTCACTGCATATCGGACATAAAAGCTCGGATTCCATCTTCGGTATATCCCTCGTCAGAGTTGACTCGACACTCATCTGATGGCCGAAAGGTCTCAGGTTTGAATCCACACTGAATGGATTTTTGTTTTTTAAACTTGATTTTGGCTTCCAAATTGGCCAAACATAAAACTGATGGCATAATAAGGCCTAAACTTCTTCTTTTGTCCTACTGCTTATGCTGTAAAGCATTGCTGTTGAGTCAGATGAAGTTTCCTGTCTTTTTCTAGTCGCCTAGCTTTTGGTAATGTCATATTATGCTTTATGCTTTTGTAGTGTCTCTTCTACTCCCTCCGCCCATGTCTTTCTTGGTCGGCCTTTTGCCTTGAAACCTGCTGTTCTTATGTAGCAGGCTCTAGCTGCTGACTGACTTTGTTCCATACTAACTGTTCAAATAATTTTTCAAGTACAGAAATCTTCTAGAAGACAAAATTTTTCCTCCTTCTTCAGCACTTAAATAACCACTTAACATCATCATCCAGTGCTACATGGCTGGCCCCCATACACCTTTTCCATTTTCATGAACGTACCCAGTTGTCCCATATTCTGACTATAAATCTCTCTCTATAACTCTATAGCTACTTTTCTTCTTCGCTTATTAAAGACCTCAAATAAAACCATCTGACTAACATGTTAAGTCTAACATAATTTTGTTAATACAGAAATCTTCTTGTAGACAAAGTTCTTCCGCATTCTTCAGTACTTAAATAAACACTTAATGTCATCATTCATGCTTCATAGCTGGCTTGAGAGATCTTTTTTCTTTCTTCTTCGTGTTCACCAGCTGTTAACTCTGGTGGAAAGTTATGGTTGTTCATCCACTTCTGGACTGCAGTCCTTTTCCAGAACCTGAGTGTTTGCATGTGCATCCGTTTTACAGAACTGATTCATTTGTATGCAGCCTGCAGGTTCCTTGACCCCCAAAGGCAGATGCACTCCGACTTTGAAGGAAGCTCCCAATTATTCAACTTTTAGGACATGCTTGTTGGGTAGGCAGTGAGTCTATTCTTGTTTTCCCTATAACAGGACCCTGGAACTCACATGGAGAGCATGGGAGATAATCTCTGTATCTCCTGAAATCTAACACTGTGTATCAATTTCCAACCTCTCTAGAGCCTAAGTATTTGACTGTGTTATTCTATGGCTAGTCGGCCTCTGGGGCTTAGTCTTTACAAGTGCATTTCATAATTCCATGGTGCTGGGTTCAAACAACTAAAAAAAAAATGTTTGTAAAGAACATGAATCTGATCTGATATGCAATGCCTGTATATATATATATATATGTGCACGCACATAAGCACATACACAGTATATATATATATATATATATATATATACATATATATATATATACGCCTATACACATATAACACAGTGTGCGTGCACGCGCAGGCACACATGCACACACACACAGTATACTTAATATATGCCTTAACAAAAACTGTATGTTTTTTTTTGGCAGTCTAAAGGTTAATTATAAGTACAATAAAAGACACAAAGCTGACACTGAAAAAGCAGATTACAATTTATAGTTTCTGGTAAAGGACCTTGTTTACACTTGCGGTGCATCAGGTATTTCATTCTAGACTCATATTCTTATAGACCAATCAGCACTCAGTAGGAGATTGAGGTCAACATCATGCCAGCCACCTTTTCTTCCCAGGACATTCCCTGGCACACATTTTAGGCAGGGTCAACCTCAGAGCCAAAGTCAATTTTGAGGAAGAAAAAATCCACCTCAATGCAGATTCGAACCCTTGCCAGCAGGCTACACTAGGCTACTACAGTCCCAATAGCTTCTGCATGGAGAAAATTAAAAACAAGAATAATCATGCTGTAAATCTCAAGCTCCCCATCGTGATTTTTTAGCTCATTTTCTCAAGCTCTTTTTCCTATTTTACCTCATTGAAGTGTTTGTATGTTCAGCTTGTCAAGAGAGACTGATGTTCAAAAGCAATGAACTCCATTTTTCCGAGGTCTTCCACTCGCCCCCGTTGTAACAGTGTGGCTCACTAGATAGTACCAGGGCATTCTTGTTACCAAACCACTTTTGTTGTCCTTTGATGACCTGTAAGACTAGAAGCATTCGTCTGATTTCATGATTTCGTATTCTGTCTTTCCTTGAAACCCTGCAGCTCTTCTTCATTTCATCTCTGTCGTCACAATTTTACGTTCATTGGGGGATGTAAGTGTCCACGTTTGGCATTGATAATAGTGTTGGCCAAAAAATGTTCTGATAAGATTCACTTTAGTACTCCGAGGTATCTGCTTGAAGAAGATAGTTGACTCATTACTGATTAGCTTTGGCACATCAGCTAATTTCTCAAGTCCAAGTTTTCCGTCAGATGTAAAAATAAATACTTAAATTCAGGGTGTTGTTTTTTAATTTAATTTCTAAAGTCTTCCTATCAAAGTAGATTTTCATATTATATTCCTCCCCTTTGTTACTAGATTTAGGTGGTTCTGTAGGCTTTCATCTGCTTCAAAAGCGAAGAGTAATTCTGTAATATCTTCTTTAAGATTAAAGTACGTTTTGCTACATATGGTATCCATGTATGTTATAAAAAGAAGCGGTGATAGTACACAGCCTTGACGCACACCAGAGTTCACTAAAAAAGTTCTTGACAGCCCTGCCTTCGATCTTATGCAGCAGGCAGGGCTGTCAAGAACTTTTATAGTGAACTCTGGTGTGCGTCAGGGCTCATTTTGGGAGGACAAAACAATGAACTCATTGTCCCCCATCCCCCAACAAGCGTGTCATAAAAGGTGACAAACTTGGGGTTTTCTGAAATCAAATGTTTTAGGCCAAAAATGCCGATACTGCAGCCAAGCTGTAAACCACAACCCACAGTGTCAACCATTCATTTAAAGGCAAATGCAGAAGAAGAGGAGGAAGAAAAAACTCAAGCTGAAAATGACCATCAATCACAAGTGAGTGACCATAAACATCAGGAATGAAGACATAAAAGAAATGTTGGCACAGAACTAATCCTAAATCACATTTAAAACTAGAATGCTTTGCTGCTTAGAGAAAATGTTTTGTGACACTTTACCATACAGGGCATATATCAAAGGAGGTGAAGGGTGTAAAATAAGAGTACAACAAGAACAAGACAAAAAGTTAAAATCAGAGAAACTTTACAACAGCATGATTTTCCTAAGGTCGAGGAGCGAGAACAGAACCTTCTATCTTCTATAAAAGAATCACACGTGAACTTGATTAAATGGGGCGAAGTTCACAGACACGTGAAGGTTTCTCCAAAAAAACCTGTTATAATGTGAATTCAGATGAGTTTAAATACAGGTCAATCATTATCTATCCCAGATAAATGATAGGTTTTGAAGCTTCAGCCGTACATATCTACTAATATACGATAACTCATAAAGTAATAAATAAATCAGGTATATATAAATCAGGTTATCAGATAGCCAACAGATGGAAGTGCATAAACGGCGACCACATGATTTGAAACTGCATCAAAAACCACATGATCAGAACCTACCCAGACTAACATATGATCTGAAAGAATCTTAATCAAAACAGCCATAAATTACATACATACATAAACTACCTAGATGAAGACCTAACCATATGTCGACCACATTTGCAAATCAGCTAACAACAGTGAACATTGGAGAATTACTAAATAAACTGATATTTTTTTCTCATGACCAGGCAATCATAGCACCAAAAGCAGTAAACTACAGGAACCTATTAACAGACTACATTATTCATGTGATGACTACGATAAGAAGATCAACTCAGACAAAACAGAAGTAATGACAAGGGAAGAACTACCAATATCAAAACTGATGAACATCAGTTAAAACAGGCGAAGGACTTTACATATCTTGGGAGCATTTTTTTTCAGAAGAAGGAAGAATTAATTTTTAAAATTTTAAAATCCAAAAACAGATGCAATAAAGCAAATCAAGTTATGGGCTAAATAGCGATAATTTTGATATGCAAGCATGTGAATATGAACACTAAAAAAGCACTGTTAACACAATTTTCTTCCCAACGCTCTGATATCAATATCAAACATGGACACTGTCTTCAGCAGACAGAAGTAAAATGTTTACATACAATACTAGGTGTAACAAGAAAGATCGACTTAGGAGCAATGATATCAGGAGGAGAGTTGGCACAGAAAAAATACTGATTTTTTCGTAGACAACAGATCAACTGGTTTGGCGAAGTAACAAAACTGGCACCAGACAGTGCACCACAGAGTTATCTGTTATACAGATACAATGGTAACTGATCTAGAGGTCGGCCATGCAGAATATGGACTGCAGAAATATCGGAGACGCTGAAAAGTACCGTATACGAACTGAATAGAAAGGCCCATTCCATAGACCTCTTCCTCCCTGACACTGGAAGGCATTCCAGGAGTAGCGAAAAGAACAAGAAGACCTGACCATAAATTATCAAAATCACATCTGATCTGCATTTGTGTAGAAAAAGACACAAACAGACAAGACAATGATATAATGAGACATTACTCAGATTAATACACTAACTAAAAATTACTAGACAAAGATATAACCAGAATTTTACCCACTTCAATACATGATCTAGATTTATCAAGACAAAGATATAAACAGATATTACTAAACAAAGATATAATGAGACATTACTTGGACTAATGCATTAACTAGACAAAGATACAAAGATATAACTAACAATTACTAAGCAAAGATACTATCAGAAATTACCCATTTCAAAACAATACCAGGAAACATCTAGACAAAGATATAACTAGAAATTACTTCACAAAGATTCAGTTAGAAACTACTCCCACCAACACATGACCCAGAATTACCTAGAAAAAGATTCAACCAGACATTACTCACATCAATACATGACCTAGAATTACTTAAAGATATAACCATAAATAACCCACATTAATTCTTGATCTGGAATTATCTAGACAAAGATTTAACCAGAGCTTATCCACATAAATACATGATATGGAAAAACCTAAACAGATACGAGAAGAAATTACCATGATCTCAGAGCAGCTAGACCAGTGGTTCTCAACCTTTCTAATGCTGCGACCCTTCAATACAGATCCTTATGTTGTGGCAACCCCCAACCATACAAATATTTTCATTGCTACTTCATAACTTTAATGAATATGTGTTTTCCTAAGGTCTTAGGTGACCCCTGTGAAAGGGTCATTTGACCAAAAAAAAGAGTCGTGGCCCACAGGTTGAGAACAGCTGAGCTAGACAAAGACATTTGGAAATATCTGCCTAGGGATGTGATCTTGTATCTATACAACATATGACTTCTTCTTACTCTGCGTTTGCTCTTAAAAGGTGGGTAGTAGCACACTGTGCTTTTACAGCAAGGCTGTGATTTCTCTTTGGCGGTTAGCACACTGTGCTTTTACAGCAAGGCTGTGATATCTGTTTGGCCAATTAGCACACTGGTTTTACATCAAGTCTGCGATATCTCTTTGGCGGTTAGCACACTCTTGATTTTACAGCAAGGCAGTGATATCTGCATTGTCTGATCAACTCATCTGCTTTCAACAAACCCTAATTAGTCACTTTTTTTTTTAACCTGCTTGTGAAAGAACAGTGGATATATTCTTCCCACCCATTACCCCAGATGGAGTTTGGTAACCAACAAGGGAAGTTCACATTGACCTGAAATGATCTATAACTTATTATCAACATCCACTGCAATTTCCATACTGAGTGATGGCCATACGGAACATCTGGCATCTTGGGTACAATGAGGCTTATTCTGCTTTAATCTGTGATTTCACAAATGTGTTTCACAATTCATTGCACACTGCGTCAGGGTTGAGACTCATTCAATGAAAGTGTACGCAATGCCCCGTACAGTCTGATTGGTCACATCTAATACAGCAGTAACATTTTAAGAATCCATGTCTTACAAAACAGTGCTGATTGTGACTTCTGCTGTGAATTACAAAAAAAAAGGAGTAGAGAAACAGAGAGAGAGAGACAGAGAAAGAGAGACAGAGAAAGAGATAGAGAGAGTTTTAAAATATGAAGCTTTAATTTTTCATAAATCTTTTAATCATCACAAAAACATGTTAAAAACCATACCTTTTTATTTTCAGTCTGATCCCTGCTAGATTCAAAATAGAGAACATTTGTCTTCTGCATTTTCTCCAGATTCATGCACATGGCCGTACCCACTACAGCCAGTGCCACCAACATACTTGTGTATGCCATCTAAAATTGATTTAGAAATCTTGATTAGATACTTTTGGATTATGGTAATAATGTGATTGTGCTAATCATCACCATCGTAGATAATTTTTGATTAAGGTAAAAATGTGATTGTACTAATCAACACCATCATAGCTACTTTTGGATTAAAGTAATAATGTGACAGTGCTAATCATCACTTTCATAGATACTTTTGGATTAAGGTAATAACCTGATCATGCTAATCGTCACCATTATAGATACTTTTGGATTGAGGTAATAATGTGATAGTGCTAATCAACACCATCACAGATACTTTTGGATTAAGGTAATTATGTGACAGTGCTAATCAACACCGTCATGTATACTTTTGGATTAAGGTAATAATGTGATGGTGCTAATCGTCACCATTATAGATACTTTTGGATTAAGGTAATAATGTGACAGTGCTAATCATCACCATCAAAGATACTTCTGAATTAAGGTAATAATGTGATTACCATCCTCATCAAGTGCCTTGCTGACTGGCATAGGCGATCATGCCTCTCCATAATCTTCAACAGCACATATCAGTTTGTACGCTGACGCCCCTTGATGCAATGACAAACGGCTGTCAGAAATCTTCTTACGTTTTTCTTCCTCTATCTCTTTTTTTTCCCACAGATCTTTCTAGAGGTCACAACAGGCTCCAGATTCCTCCTTCTCATATTATGACTCAAAAAAGGACCACTGTCTTTCTCTATGATGTCTGTGATGTCTTTGAGCCCTCGCCTCTTTAAAATATTTGGGTTGCTTTTTTTTTTTTTTTTGGCTATCCAATGAATTCTAAGAATACTTCTGTAAAACCACATTCTGAGGCCATGAGGAATTGTTTGGCTTTACAATCTTTTAAGGATTGACAGCCACATGTTAAAACTGGCTCTACATAGCATGCAAGAATTCTTTTTCTAACCTCCAGTAATATGGATTTTTTGCACAAACTGACCTTCATTTTATGAAAGGCAATGCTAATACATATACATATAAAATGTATAAATAAATGTTACAGTATGTCCATGTTGGAAGCCCCAGTATGTAAAACTCTTTCTGTGAAGCCCAACAGATAAAACCGAGCAGATAGAGCTCGTCAGCTTGGGACAGATAGCCATCTTGGAAAATAACTCTAATCGCAAACCTCCACTGTCTGATCTGATAGGTCTTTGCTTGACCATGGACTAAGGAAGTTCATCCTAACAAAAAGAATGCTAAAAATGGAGGTGCTGGGCTAAACCACACACAGTATAGAAAGGTGTCATAGCAAGTATAGAAAGGTGTCATAGCAAGTATAGCAAGTATAGAAAGGTGTCATAGCAAGTATAGAAAGGTGTCATAGCAAGTATAGAAAATAGCAAGATATCATAGCACCCCCTAGAAAGGTCACAGCAAGCATAGAATGTCGTATAGAAAACAAGACTAGACCCCCTTGGGAGCTTCCTTTGAAGTCGAGAGTTGGGAGCTTCCTTTGAAGTCAGAGTGCATCTGCCTGAGAGGCAAGGAAACAGCAATCTGCATAGAAATAAGTCAGATCTGTAAAATTTATGTGCACGTAACGATTGTTTGAAAGGGGCTGATGAAAGCAGACCTCTGTATACAACAATAAGAAAGAGACAAACACTGTTCTTAGGCCACATAATGAGAAGAGAGACATTGGAGAACATTGTGACAACTGGAAAGATCAGTGGAAAATGGGTAGGGGCAGACCAAAAGAGATGATGCTGGATAGGCTAAAACAATGGCAGGGAGGGATATCTTCAAGAGAGCTGTTCCAGGCAACCAGGGATCATGATCTGTGGAGAGGCATGAACGCCTATGCCAGTTGGCAGGGCACATGATGATGATAACAATGACGCAACTCTCAGGTTCTGGAACAAGACTCAAGTCCGAAGGTCGGCGAACAACCAAAACTTTCCACCAGTTTACAGCTGGTGAACGCTAAGAAGAAGAAGAAGACTAATGCACTGACCAATGTCATCTTAACACATGGGCCCAATGTTCACTTGCTCAGGGGCCTACGAGCAAAGGGGCCCCATGCTAATATGTGCATATGTTTAATATTATTTGCCATTTACATTTCATTCCTGTGAATAAGGTTGTGAATCCCCAAGCACACTTGTTTGCCCAGGGGTCCATAATGATGTTATTGTTAAGATAGCTCTAGCACTGACTGTCCATGATTACCCTCTATCCATGAGAATGAACTTTTAGAGTCCCAGAAGGTTTTACAGATATTCCCAAGAGGCACAATAACCATTATGAACAATCACAAGCCTATAAATGTTATCAGGCAAGGTAGATGTTAACTGGAGGTAGCCGCAAAAGGAAGCCAGATTTCACTAGCATTCTCTGACAAACTATGAACAGTGAAAGAACACAATACACGATTGTTGGGATCCAATGAAAAGAGCCACTGACACATCATGTGCTGCTTGGGACTCTAAGAGTTTACTCTAATATGGCTTTAGAACTCTGTCACATCCCACCACTGCTGCTCTGTGGTTCTCTAGGTCAAATACTGTGTCTGCATACGTTTTTCACAATACATTATAAAAAGGAGTAGTTCTTCTTAATTGGCTATGCAAGTGCGAACAATCATTACGAGTATGAATATTATGCATCGATGCATAAGAATGTTGGGCGCTTCTTTGATTCATTCCCTAAAATGGCGACATGCCACATTCTGGCCATAAAATATCCAAAAATATCCGAACGACGGTGTTCGCGTATATCTAAAATACGGACTTTCTGCCAACGAAGAAATCGAGGCAAAACTAGGATTACTTTACAATCAATATCAACATTTGCACACGGTAGTAGTAGCAGACGATAAATACCGACATTTTCTGCAGACGATAGTATTAGCAGACGATAAATACCGACAGTTTCTGCAGACGATAGTAGCACCAGACGATAAATACCGACAGTTTCTGCAGACGATAGTAGCAGCAGACGATAGGAGCAGCAGACGATAATTTTGAGCGTTTCTGCAGACGATAGTAGCAGACAATAAAAGCGACCGTTGACCAATTTCGAGACAGTACAGACGATATGGCGGGTAGACCGCTTGATCTTGATGTTTGAAAAAAAAAACTAAAAACTTCTTGCCTCTTTCAACCGGCTCCTAGATTGAGCATTGGTTATATCGAGGCGGTGTTTTATTGTCTGGAATTCGATCTCCAGTAATTGACATTTCTGTGAGGCGATCATATTACGCCTGAGGTTTTGTTGCTGCTGTCTCGGTCTGCCCTAAAAAGGGCGGACCATAGCCTTGGGACGGCCTGGATCGGGTGAGATGGGAGTGGCTTGGGCGGTGGAGTCCAAGTCCAAGTCCTTTTGAGAAAAAAATAATGACCACGTTCAGACTGCTGCTAGCTAGCCTAGGCAGCTAACAGTCTCCGCCTATATTTGTGGGCTGGGTTATTTGCGTCACTTTCGTGACTGAATACTAGTGTTTGTGCCATTTCTGGCTTGATGCTTCCATCCGAATCAAACCGCTCGTCCTGTTGTCTCTGGAGCATGTCTTCCTTCTTCTTTCTTGGTGTTTCCTGTTTGTTCTGTCTCCCTTTGATCTGGCTAGGCGTATCTCGAAGGAGAGCGAGCTTCCATGCACAACGTCCTTTCGGCCACCATTTATTGTTTAAAAATTTTGAGTAATTTAATTTTGCCAAAAGTACTGAAAACAGTTTTTGAATTTGAATAGTTCCGATAGGTGAAAATTTTCCGCGTGTGACCATAGTGGTCTTATAGTTGTCTTCCTGTAATATGAACGGGTTAGTCATGTAATGGATATGTGTGTGAGAGTTTATGTGGAGTCTTAAGCGGGTCCAGTCGTCATTTGTTATTATGTGATCGGGTTGTGTTGATAGCTAAGTTCCGGTGTACGTAAATACCATATAACCGGACCATCCAGCTCACGCTTTGAGATCCAAATGTTCGGCGATGAGAATTGCTGTGGCATGTTGGGCAACGAACTCAAGTGCTCTCTGTGGGAATGGGTTGGGGGGTTAAACTCATAGTGCATCCGAAAGAGTTAGGGAAAGGTGAGGGGTAAGGGGCGGGAGGCCATTCAGTCATTTCTCGTCGTTGCCGTCTTGCTGGATTCTAGCGTGGCCTTTTGCCGGGACTATGTGTATCACGTTACCAACCTTTGCTATCATCCCAGTGATAGTTTGGTATTGGTGGTTATGGGTTCTAGTCCTGTCATTATCGAGTCACTTGTTTTCCCTATTTGCTGTCAGTCATATTTTGTTGTGAGTCCTGTCGGTCATGTGCATGTTGTATGCATGCTGTGGAGTGGGTTGGTTTTGTGTATGAATCCTCGGAGTACATGGACGCACCCAACTAGGTGTATGCGTACATGCACTCGAGTACTCATACATGCAGACAATACTAAATATTTGCACATCCTTTCATACTTATCCGTGTATGCATACCTAATTGACATTACGTGCACACGCAAACTCTTTTATATGCGTCTACCAATGCCTGTACTTACATTCATAAATAACGAGTACATCCACACGTAGTGATATTCACTCTTCCATGTCTGATTCGTTTTGTGTCGCTTTGTCTGTAATTTCGTCTGGTCGTGTCACTTTTAAGTTATGTCCCGTTACTGGTATGTGACCTGTCCGGTACTGTCTTATCATGTTTTGGTGGATGGTGTGTGTTGATGACGTTCTTGCTGCGTACACCCTTCATTCCATTTGTTCTCATTAATTAACAGACATACAGCAACACAGTTTATGGTTTCTTTGAGTGCACCGTCATTCATGGCGGTGGACATCATGTCGTCTGGTTGTGGGCTGTGAGGTTTCTACGGGCTGGTGAGCGGGCTTGTTCAGCTGTCATGGCGGCTTGGGCGGTATTTCATTGGTGACTGGTTTTCCCTGCGTCTTCTTTAGTATTGGGAGTTCTTTCGTCTGCCTCGCTTGCCTATGGGTGTTTGCCAGTGGGCCTGTTCGTTTGTTGTGGGCGTCTTAAATCTC